CGGCGGATACTTCCCAGGACGAGATTCTGTGCGGATGCACATGAGTGGCGCACACCCTCTGAATCATGACATGCTGCCTATCACGTGTGCTTATTGCCTTCGAGACTTTCGCATTGAGCAAGTTTTTACACACCTGCACAGTTCCCGCATGCACCTTTTAAGTGAGCATATCCAGTAATTTGCCTTCGTTTGCCGTCGAGTCTTGGTTCGAGAGTCTGCTAGTGTGCCTTGCTTTGCCGTGACCTCTTTGTAGTCGCATGGCATGGTTGGCGACACTACTCATAAGTGGCGGTGGTCGTGAACGTGAGCGTGAACGTGGTCGCCGAGGTGGGGAGCGTCGTGCGGAAAGTGAGCGTGGGGACCGTCGAGGTGACCGGCGGGAAGACGACGAAGCGTCAGTCTCTGAGCGTCTGTTGTCGTTAGTCTTAGGCTTCTGCCTTGCACCTGATTCACACCCAGCTTAAACGACCAAAGCAGTTCCCTGAAGCAGCACTGACTTCACAGAGCTCTGATGTAGATGAAAAGATCTTCCAAGAGTGCTGGCATGAACATGGCCCCTCATGGCGCGAGGCTCTTGATGCTCGGGATGTTGAGGCTCTTTTCCGTTGCTTCAACAGCATCGCAGAAGGTTTTTTGTGTCGTCGTGGTGAACTTTCGTCTTGCTCTCGAGGCCAGGCTTCCTTTGTGGCCGGGGTGCCATGCCCTCCTTTGTCAAACAGCCTGGCATTTCGCGCCCGGCTCAGCATGGTGGTGCTCAGACCACAGTTGAGGAACGTGCTCTACGTAAGCTTGCCCGTCAGCTCGAGGAGTTGTTGCGTTCAATCCCTCCTGGGCCTGCTGTTTGGCCCACTCAGGTTTTAAGGCTTTGGCGTAAAACCGTTTCCCGTGCTGCTGCTTGCGGATTGCGGTTTACCGTTGCATCGCTGCAACAATGCAAGGATGATGCCATCAAGCGCGCTGATAGTCTTTCCAAGTCTCAGGAGTACGGTTCCCTTAATCGCTGGCGCGCAAAAATCACACTTGACTTTCAGCATCACAAGCGGGAGTCCTTTCGTTGGTTTAATCGCCAGTTTAAATGTTCGCAGTTTTTTCTAAAAAAAAGGTGATTCTTTCACAGCAGACCCTGCTGAAATCGACGAGCTTGTTCGGGCTGTTTGGGCCCCGATCATGCAGCGCCACAGTGCGGAGCCCGTTCCTTCGTGGGACAACTTTCTGCAAGAATACCAGCACCTCATTCCTGCGCTTCCTCAATTCTCTTTGCAGCCTCTTTCCGCCAAGCGTCTCCGCGCTGTTCTGAATAAGATGTCTTCACATTCCGCCGCCGGCCTTGACACTTGGGAAGTCCGCACCCTCAAAGCTTTGCCAGACCAACTTCTTGATGCACTTTGCGTTCTCTATGACACCATTGAGTCGACCGGCATTTGGCCCACTCCTCTTACCGCTGGGTATCTCTGCTTGATTCCGAAGCCTGACTCGGATGGCTCTCCCGCCAGCTTGCGCCCGTTATCCATCTTGAGCGTCGTTTATCGGCTTTGGGCCTCGGCGCGCCTCCAAGAGCTAATGATCTGGCAAGAGTCATGGGCACACTCTGCGCAGTCCGGCTTTCGCTCTGGCCTCGACTGTGCAGATTCTTGGTACCCCCTTGCGTTGAAGGTCGAGCAGGCCCTACTCAACGGTCGTGACCTCGCTGGTTGCTTCCTGGACTTTGAAAAGGCTTTCGATCTGCTGCCGTTTCATGAAATCATTTTGCCTCTTGCGGTGCGCATGGGCTTGCCACAGCCCTTTGTTTCTTGCCTGTCTAATCTCTATTCTAGGCTCCTTAGGGTTTTTAAGCACGCCAAGGGTTCTGGTTCCGCCGTTTCCAGCGACCGCGGTATAGTGCAGGGCTGCCCCATCTCTGTTGTCCTCCTCAACTTGCTTGTAGCAGTCTTTATGCGTCTTGTTGACCGCAACTTGCCTTCTGTCAAACCTCGTGCGTATGCGGATGATATCAGCTGCTCCTCCAGCCAAGTCCGTGCCGTCAGTCAGTTCCTTGATCTTGCGGGCTCTTTTGCCACTGTAACTCGACAGCGCCTGAAGCCCGCTAAGCGTAAACTTTGGAGCACTTCTTCTGCCTTGAGGGATGAGCTAAGTCTTCTTCGGCTTAATGGGTTTCCCCTCGAGCTTGTGTCTGACATTCGCTATCTTGGCGCACAATTTGGTTTCCATCCTGGCGTTCCTCAGGTTGATCGTGAGCAAAGCTTACAACTCTTTCGGGAAACCGTCAGCCGCGCTGCCTGTCTTCCTTTGTCGCCGGAAAACCGTGCGGAGCTGATTGCTGCAGCTCCCATTCCTAAAGCCCTACACGGTTGTGAGTTGACTGCACCTGAGCTCGACTCTTTGACCAAGCTCCGCACTGTTGTGCTCGGATCTGTTTGGCGTGGCAGGTCTGACCGCGTGCCTGAAGCTGTCTTGTGCCTTTTTTCACCTTGGTCATAGAGTTGACCCCGTGCAGGTGTGCATTTACCGCTCCGTTGCTCTCCTGCGTCGAATGTGCCTTAAATCTCCCCAGGTTCAAGTTTTATGCCGTCAGGTTTGGAGTCAACACGCAAACATTCCTTCCTCTGGCATTCACGGCCCGTTGCACACGGTTTTACAGGCTGTCCTAAGCCTCGGCTGGTCTTGGGATTCTTTCGATACTTTCCGCCGCCCTTTCCTTCCACCCGTTCTCTGGACGCAATGCTCCCGACGCCCGAGGTTGGTTCCTGCACCAGGTTCGCGACGCTTTGCGTCAGAGTCAGCTTGAAAACGCTGCCTCCCGGATGCGCTCATCTAGCTGGTTTCTCGGTTTTAGATAGGCACATGACTCTTGTGTTGTTGCGCAGACTTCAGAAGCAGAAGCAGCATTATTCTGCCGGCACACTCAAGGCGATTCTTGCAAACGCCATCAAAACGGCTTCATTCACCACAAGGCTAAACTTGCCTCTTCTCCCTTGTGTCCTTTTTGTGATGCGCAGGTCGAGGAAACAACTATTCACATGTATGAAGAGTGCTCTCATTGGCATGACATTCGCTCGCGCTTTCCTCTTGCCTCAGATCCTCGTTTGCCTGTTTGCACCCGCTTCACTGGCATTGCTTGTCTTTTGCCGCAAACACTTGCATCCTGTCGTGCAATGTATCGTGCAGATACCTTCGATGCTGCTCCCTTGTCTGCCTCTGCACTCAACGCCGCAAAATCGCGCGAGTCCTTTGTGAACAACTTCTCTGTCGTTGTGATCCTTGCCAGCTTTTGTTCTACACCCAATCTTGCGCTTTGGAGGCGTGCGGGTTATAGCATCCGCTATTCCCGTTTTTCGCATCCCGGCAACGCATCTTGTGCACTCCTTGGCTCAGAGCAAACCGCGCAACGAGCCCTCCTACGGGCTCTTCTGCATGTTGTCATTCGTGATGTTCGGCCCCTTCACATTCGGGTTGCTTCTTCCGGTTTTCTTTCGGTTTGGGAAGCTGTTAAGTCCCCTTCCCCCGTTTTTGATGCCGATAACTTGGACATCATTTTGAAACTCCGCCTTCTCCTCTCCTCGAGGTCTGCCCCTGTAAACGTTCATGTTCTTGACAATCCCAGCCGGAACTTGCTGTATTGCAATGCCAAAGTTGCTGCAAAAACTGCCGCCTTATCACAGCATGACGCTGCCTTCCTTGCTTCCAAAGCCGCTTACGATGAACTTGAAAGTTGTGTCTTGCAACGTCAGCGTATGCTGTTGGCCATTGTGCTGGCTCGCGCCAGTTACGCAAAGCGTCACAAATTGCTTACCTTTGAGGATCCCTCTGACCCTAAGCCTCCCGAGCTTCCCAAGCATTGCTCTGCAGCGCCTGAAAGTTCTCCTGAATATCTCACACACCCGGATAATTTTGACGGCCACAAGCACGTGCTTGCTCCTTGCAAGCCTTTCTCTCGTGCCTTGCGTTTTCCTTTCGGTGAGTTCTTATACCGGGCTTTGGCTTGGTACCTTGACCAGTTGCGCTGGCCGGATCTCCCACTTGATTCCACCCGCGGCATCACTTATCTTGAGTTTTGTATTGATTTTGAACTCAACACAGGCATTTTCCTCCCCGGTTCTGAAAAACGCATCCAGGGTGACAGCAGCTCGAGACAGCGTTGCGGTGCGGCCTTTCACATCAAATCTGTTTTTGATCACGACCCGCCCCCGCAGAATGATCTGAAACATGACATTGAGCGGTATGTGGCCGACTCTGGCAAAGCTCGCTACCGTTGCAAAGCCTGCTTGCGCTCAGGCTATTGGGCTGATCGTGCTGCTTTTCTGCGTTTCTCGTGCATCGGCCGTCCTGAGTCCACTGCTCAGGCTGTAAGTCGGCAGCGAATTGCTCAGCAACGTAAGCTTCTCTCGCAGCGTAGAACTCCAGGCGACAATTCTCCAGTCCCACTTGGAGAACGCGCGCAATTTTTTGCTGATGTTTTTCGTAGCATCATCCGTAAGAATAACCTTTCTTCTCCCTCAGTGCTGGAAACTTCTACTGCTGTCTGCAGGGCTCTGTCGGGATTTTCTCTCCCTGCATCTGCTGGTCTTTTGCGCAGACCATTGCTTCTGACTCAGTCACGAGTCGCCGATGAAATTCGGCAAGCAGCAATCAGTTTTCACACTGGCACTTGGCCTGATGCCTCTGCATGGCATTTGTCATGGTTCCCTAGCTATGATGCTGATAGGCCTCAGCCTTTGTGGCGCCCTCGTGAGCCCGACTGAGGCTCCAATGCTTCGCAGGCAGTAGGGGGACTTTCGTCAAGCCCGCTGGTCCTGAGGTAAAGCGACACACGTTCGAGAACGAGCTCGGTGTGCAGGACCCAGTCGGATTTTGGGATCCCGCGCAGTCGCAAGCGCTTTTTGGGCAGGGGACAGGGGACGCACGCTATCGCTGCGGATGTTACTTATCTGCGTACGGTGCGCACAGAGGTTATGCGATCCTTATGGGGATGCGAGTTTTACTCTATGAGCCCTCTTGTCACGATGGCGATTTTATGTCCAGTCCAGCTTGATCCTGAGTTTGGGGCGGCTTACGAAGGACTGCGCACTGTTATGCGGATTATGCGAGTACCGGACATAGCGGCGGAAATCCGCAGGAGGTACCACTGTACTCCTTCGGCGGTGGTGGATGGTCCTACGCTACGGTTGCAAAACCTTCGTGATGTGTCCATCTTGTCAACCAGGGTCAATGAATTGATGGCGGGTGAGATCGATGAAGGGTTGTGGTTACATCAACTACGCGATGAGTGGCGAGCCTACTTGTGGCAGAAGGTGAGCCAGGAAAGATCTCAACATTATGCGGGTGCTGGGAGGGTGGATCGTGTGCGTACACTACTTTACCACCGGAGACTGGAGGAACGCGCGCGACAAGGCGATGAGGATGCATGGGCTAAACTTGGAGTTTTGCGTCGCATCATTGCAGGAGGCTTGATGACGCCAGAGCGGGCGTCGCGGCACAAACGACAGGATTCCAATCGTATGTGCTCTTGCGATGCGGAGGAGGAGACCATCATGCACGTTTCATGGCGATGTGCCTTATATGCGGAGGAACGAGCACACGTGTTGGAGTCTCTGGGGTGCAGGATTGAGGATTTGCCAATATGCTTTACGTATGCGATGGTGGTACCAGAGGACTTTTACTTGAACGATGACGTGGTACTCTTAGTTCAAGAATTCCTTGTTGACGTATGGCAGAAGCATATTGTCAGGTGGCATGCGGGGGGGGACTTGGAGGACAAGAGACGTAACTTTCCTACGCGGGAGATTACTGAACGAGGTATTGTGGAGAATGGGCATTTGCTGGCACCGCGTACTGAGGGCGGCTTTTGGTGCCGTTTATGTGGGAAGTTTACCTCCAATACTCAGCATGTTCGACTCAAGATTACGAGCAAACCGTGCACACAACGAGGTGGCCCTGTTTTGGCGTCTGAAGGTTTTCTGTCCAACGACAACCGGCTCGACCAACTGGAGCGGGAACTCAACATGAAATATAATCGAGCCAAACATCTGCTTCACTGGAACCGCAAACTTGGCAAGACTATAGGCGCACCGGATGAGGGATGGCTTCAATGTTTGAGGTGTGGGAGAAAGTGGCGCTGGAAGGACCGCACCTCTAACCTACCACGTACTCTATGTTCTATATGTGGCGTGCTGCCAAAGCAAAGTTACGTATCACCAAGAAGACAGCTTTATCCAAGTTACCGCGAACGCGGTACTTTTCTGAACGTGCTGATACCAATTTATCTTTTGATGATGTTCCACTTCTGGATCCCCCGCGGGTTGGGGTAGGATGAGTTTTCACCGGTGACGAGCTCATGTGCGGCAGGCTATGCAGCTCGTTCAAAACACCAACTTTTGGGATCCCGCAGGCTTCACCGCCGATGGCAGCGTTGAGAACTTCAAGCGCCGCCGCCAGACCGAATTGAAGCACGGACGCATCTGGGCAGCCGTTGCCGCACAGACGGCAGCGATTGGCACCACCTCCACGCGGAGCTGCCTGGTCAAGACGGACGGTGCCTGCGTGATATCTTTCGCATCCTTGGCTCAGCAAGTGACTTTGCGGTTTGTGTCTAATGTTGCACGAAACAAGCTGATGCATTCTCTGTATGGCAACACCAGTGTCGTAAGTTCGACTCGCTCCAAATGGGAGTCCACCCTTGATCAAACCGGCGTGCAGCTCCTACATGCAGATGAGTTGAAGTTGCCGGGTGATGCCGCGGTCGTCACGATCAGAGCTGACCAGGTTTCAAATGGAGCAGTAGGATTTGCCTTTTGCAATAGTGTGTTCTTGCAGCCGAAACTCAAAGTCAAAGGTGGCAGCTACCTTTGCTTGCTAATTCCAGGAGTGCTGGGGGCTGATCTCAAGCGATTGCTGCAAGATGCGAATCCCACTTTGCTTGCCCATTCATTTGAGACTGTTCTCTCTCTTGAGGATCCCAAAACCAAGAGGTGCTTTCCGCGCAGTGTTGTCGGGATAAATTTGGGATTGCAGAATGTTACGGTAGCCCAGCTTCCGCCCAGTGTGCAAAAGGCTGAAGATCCGTCCGTTGTGGTATGGGTGCATGCTCACCAAAGGTACTCGCCTGATGAGTGGATGAAGTGTGTAGGATCAAATATGCGTGAAGTCAAGCAGACTGTTTCTCACAGAATTGCAGGTCTGCTCAATGTTAGCCCTGGTTCATTCGAGATGTGGGGGTTCTCTGTCGGTCATTCGCCGAATTCTACCCTCAAAGCTTGCATCCGTGTCACAGCAACGCAAGCCAAAATCTTGTATGATTGCAAGGATGGCTTCCTCTTTTTCCGTGCCTTCGTTCGCAAGGGATCCAGCCCCACGGTCGAGGACGATATCGTAGTGTTGTGGACAAACAAGTTTACAACAGTGAGCTCACTCGCTGTCGTGGCAAACACTTTGCAGGGACTACGTGGTTTCGTAGCTAATGCACAAGGCCTTGGTGTCAGAATCGAGAAGCGGTACATTGCTGCTGCACGGGTTGCTCTTCAAGAATCCAATGGAAAAGTCTTTGAGGTCAACAGGGACGTCGCAGGCATTTTGCTTTTCGAGGTGCAAGGTTTCCCCAGCGGTACATCTGCTGCCACCGTCGTCACGTTGCTGTCTACCACTGCAGATGAATCGGTTTGGAAACCATGGATTGTGATACCTACCAAACACACTGCCCAAGTTTCTTCATGCATGTGGCAGGTACGTGCAGATTGTGATCCGTCCCAGTTTCGTGTTGTACTTCCTGAAAAAAATAAAAAAGCTTATCATCTCCAAGCTCCCGAGTGCCTCTGAGATGCGTGCTGCTCTTGATGCCAAGAAGAAGCTCGAAACTGAAGCTGACAAAGCTCGTAGGCGCCAGAATATCATTGCCAATTCTAGGGGTGCTACCTGTCACGATGATGACTTTGATCCCTGGCGTAACTACAAACCTGAAGCTAAGGGGAAAGGTAAGGGCAAGGCACACAGTCGTGAGCGCGTCAGTGCGCATGTGGCCAGTGATGACAGTGATATGCGGGCCACGGTTATGCAGTTTAGGCGAGAGATCGATACTATCACGAAGCGCTTGGATGGACAAGATGTGAAGTTTGATCAGATGAACTCCCGCATTAATGACAATCATTCGGAAGTGATGCAAGCCCTGTGCTCATTAGGCGCATCATCAGCTGATAGGATGCGCTCTCCTGACATGGGTGGCACACCCCTCAAAGCAATTGCAGGGGGGCGCGGCCCGAAGGAGAGTAGGCAGTGATCCATGCAACAGTTGGCGCAACTCTGTCATGATGATGCTTGTGCTTACAAACAAGTTGTCAACAACCTTCGTGAGGACACTGCTGTGCTTCGTCAGTCCGCTGAGTGTTTGAAAGGTAAGCTTGATGACCTGTTTGAGTGGGCTGGCTTTGAGTCACCGGTTTTCATTGGGGGTGGCATTGACCCCGATTTGCAGCAAGCTTTGGACATCTCCTTGAAGGAATGTGCCGAAGCTCGTGATGAGCGGCGACGCGTCCGCTTTGCACTTACGCGTGTGATCCCCAAGGGACATTTTATTCAAGATACTATTGCCGATGGTAATTGTCTTTTTCGCGCTTTCTGCACTGGTTACAGCGCACTCACGGGTTTTGGACTGTCGCATGAAGTTGCAAGGATTTCATGCATCGATACGCTCCGCACTTCCTTTGCTGACAGGTTCGCAGATTTCGATCGTGGTGCTTATCTCGACTCTATGGCCCAGTTAGGCACGTACGGCGACGAACTTTGCATTGCTGCTCTCAGCAAGCATTTTGAAGTGAAGGTCTGTGTATACCACCCTTCCTTTTCACCATCCGTTTGGGGTGGTAACTTAAACCCCAATTTGGTCGTCAACTTGGCCTATAATGGGAGTAATCATTTCGATGTTATTCTTGCGAAGCTCTCACGGCGCAATAATACTGTTGAGACGAAATCAATATCTGATATGGACACCAACTCAGACGAGCTGTCCATTCTCTCTGTCAACGTTACGAGTTGGCAAAAGCATGCACTTTCCTTGTTGTCCTCCGGCCCCGATGTTCTCCTCTTGCAGGAAACTCGTTTGTCTGCAAAAGGTCATAGAGCCGAGCCGCTCTCCTTATCCATGCAATCCCCGCCATGGAATGCTGTTTGGGGTCCTCCAATGGCTCCGATGCGAATTAAGGGTAAGAAACAGGCGAAATGGCTTTCTGACAAAGGCGCGCATGGGGGAGTTGCCATTCTTTCCAAAAATTCGGTTTCCCTCGTCCCCACCGGTTTGGATTCTTTTTCCTCGCAGGTCTTGCTGGATAGCAAGCGTTGGGTTGCAGCGGCGATTCCAATGGGACCTTCTGGAGGTTTATCCTCTCGTTTTCTTCATCTTGTTTCCTTTTATGGGATTTCTAATAAAGGTTATGGTTCGAAATTCACTGCCAATGAGCGTCTGATTCAGCACTTTTTTGATCATGTTGCCCAGGTTGGGGAACAGCCGGTCGTTATTGGCCTTGACGCCAACACATCCCTTGAAACGAGCCCTTCTCTTGCCAGAGTGCTCGGTACAGGTCGCTTTGTGGATCGTGCGCTTCATTTCTGCGAAGGCAATCCGCCTCCAACTTTCTGTGCATCTCCTGATTGGGATAAATGCTCCAGTGGGGTAGGTATTACGAGACCGGATTTGGTTATATGTAATCTGTCTGCGCTTCCCTTGATTAAGCGGTTTGTCGTGCGACGGGATCTTTCTGTCCGTAGTCATGTTGGTTTACAGATTGTGTTGCATCGGCGTCAGTCTACCCAGCATTTCCTTGCGTTCAAGCCGCCCCCGCCCTTTCCAATCAGCTCTGCTTCGTGTATCAGCCAGGATGAAAAGTCGGACCTTTTCGTTGAGTGTCTGCGTCAACGGCAACGTGAGCTTGATTTAGCCCTTGATGAGCATGATACAAATACGGCCTGGCTCGTTCTTGCTGATGTTGCTGAAAATTATCTTGCACAACGTTGTGGGAAGTCCTCTTGCCAAAAAGGTAGACACCGTCCACCAACGTTCGTACAGCGGACGGTCTCCGCACCTGCAAGTTGTAAGCATTGTCCCGATGTTGCTTCGACTGCGCGCCTTAGTAAGCTTAATGCTGCTTTGAGACGCCTTCGCGAACTGGAGTTCAAAATGGTTCGGTTTCGTTCCGGTTCTTTCAGTACCCAAGATGCTTTAGAGTGTGAGCAATTGTGGACGCGTCTTTCCCCTGTACTACTCTCTTGTGCGATCGTTTTCCCTGCTGTGTGGCAGGATTCTGATCCAGCGGCCTTGCATTCTTCACTTAGTGCTTGCATTGACGGCCTTGCAGCAGATGACCGCAAAAGGCGCCTCAAAGAGTGGCGCTTGCGTATGCGGGAATCTCTTGATCTTGAACACGGTCGTGTCGCTTACCGGTGGCTCAATTCCCAGCAATTTTCTCCTTTGCGTGCTGTCAGGAAGGCTGACGGCACCATTGCAACCAGCACGAGCGATCTCGTTGAAGCAGTAATGACGTCTTGGCAAAAGATTTTTAATAAAGATGAGCATGCCAATGCCCGTTTGTTCCTTGATAAGGTTTCCCCATTCCTTCCCGTTAACAAGTGCTCCATTCCTGGATTGAGCGGTTGTGATTTGCGACGCCAAGTGCTTAAGTGCAAAGCTTCGCGTGCGGTTGCACTTGATGGTTGGCGCATTGCGGAGTTGCACGATCTCCCTGTAGAGTTTTTCGATGTTGTGGCTTCTGTTTTCAGTCTGGTTGAGTCCGGGGCTCCGTGGCCCTCGTCGTGCGTGCAAGGTCATGTAAGCATCATTCCTAAGACTGGGGACAGTGATCTCGCTGACAAAATTGCGCCTGGTGACCTCGTTTTATCGGATGGCCTTGCGACCAGACCTATCACAGTGCTCAGTCCTTTATACTGTTCTTACAGTGGTCTTAGATTTCAGCAGCTCTCCCAGTGGAGGGAGTCTTGGCTTTTGCACGGCGGTCGCGCCGGACATGAGGTTTATGATTGCTCGTACGCGTTGGCGGCGGCTTTGGAAGCTAGCGCTGTTGAACGGTCGTCGGTCGCTGGTATCAGTCTTGATCGACGTAAGTTCTTTGATCTGCTTGAGTATGAAATTGGTCACTGTCTTTTGGAGTATCTTGGACGTCCTGTTCCGGTTGTTTGCGCTGCCAGGGAGTTTTATGCGCAACTTTCCTGCAGATACAAAGTTAACACAGCTTTTTCTTCATCTTGCCGTCGCCAGAACGGCTTTGCGCAAGGCGACAGCTACTCTCTTCAAGTTGCTCTCGCCGTCATGGCCGCTTGGTTTTGCTTTATGCGTGAGCATACTCCGACGCCTGTGTCCTTGAATTTGGGCAGTTTCCTTGATGACAGCCATTTTTATGTTAAAGGTCAATCTGTTGACTGTACGTGTAGAAGTCTATGCGATCTCTGGCAGGTCAGCAACACCTTCGATGAACTGGCTGGGACTGTGACGAATTACGACAAGTCTTTCTTTTTTGCCAACTCTGGTGCACTACACTCCTCGGTTGAGGCTGCAATGGCACGTGTTCCCGAATCTTCGAGGTTACAAGGCGTGTCCAGCTTTAAGCTGGTAGGCAGCATGGTTTCCGCGCACGGCAAACCCTGCGTGCAACAGCGTAACAAGCGGGTCGATGCTGGTGCCTCGAGACTTCACAAACTTCGCTACGGTCCTATGCGCTGTAAGTATCGTCTCCGGATGGCTGGTGCCTCCGCTCTTGCTTGTTCATTTTTCGGAACCGAGCTTCAGGACCTGACCCAAGGTCAAAAGACAAAGCTGCGTACTGCTGTGTCCGGCTTTTAACGAGGAGGCATGATATACGTGCCTCTTTTGCCGTGACCTGGGATGCTATCCAGCAGGATGCCTCTGTCGTGAAGCACTTGTGGGGTCCTGTGCGTCGGTTGTATCAAGCTGTCTCTGAACTGTGTGCCACTTGGTGCGAGCCGTTTTGCATCGTGACGGAGCACAACGTGCGTTTGCATTTGTTCCATGGTAATTTGCTGCAGTGGAAGCATGAGCTCCGCCACGCTTTGCGTGTCATGGTTTGGCTTTCTGACAGGGCTTTCCTCGATAGAATTGACATGCAGGGTGCAGGTGTCGTTGCCTATAATGCCACCGTGTCCTTGTTGAGGCGAAGTGAATGCACCAAAAAGAGTAAGAGCCGAAAAAAGTACAAGCAGTGTCCCCCTTTGTCTTTCTTTGAGCAAACTCACTTGCGCGCTATCTTGACCGGTGCGGTGCGTACCAATGAGAAGCTTTTCAAAGCTCACGCTTGTGATTCTCCTAATTGCACTCATTGTGAGAATAATGTGGTTGAATCGGTCGAGCACCTGTTCTGGCAGTGTCCTGCTTGGGACAACGTGCGCTCTGCTTTCCTGCAGCAGCACGGTGAATTTCTGGGCACTGCCCCCAACTGCACAAAGTGTTGTGGCATACTGTCTCAAGATGTTCTTGATCAGGGTGTCATGTCGCTGCGTGAAGCTGTTGTTTTTTGTGAAAACTTACAAAAGTGTATGATTTCGATTCTGTGTGCGCGGGAGAAAGTTACCTGTAAATTGCCCAGAGGTTGTCCCCAGAACGTTCCGGACACGTCTCTAGACGCAGCGCCACGTGCTGTTCAGAGCTTTTCTAACAGGGAGCGTCTTTACCCTGGCTATCCTTGGGGTTTCGAGTCTTTGGATCACAACTGTGCCACCTTCTTCAATGGTGTTCCTCCCCGCAATTGGAGGGTTTATAAGCGGGGTTCTTCATGGGCTTTCGGCGTTCAGTTATTTGAGCCTTTACTTTTTTATTGGAAGCGTCTTTCTTGGCCGCATAATGATGAGTCACAAGAGACCATCAGTTGGGCGGAACTTGCAATTGACTTTTATGCGGCTACGCATTGCAATGTTGCACCCGCTGATCAAACCACTTCTCCGACTTGTGAAGCTGCCGCTCGGTTCTTTGCGAGCGCTGGCAAGCGTATGGCTGCCATCTGCGGTGCTCTACTCGTGCCTCCGTGTGAAGGTCAAGTTGCCTTCGCTACACATGTGCCTTCGCTGACTTCGCTGGGCTTGGGTCGTTGTGCCGGCCTTCGTTTGCGACCACGTCTGTTGTGTCCTGGCGTTGTGCACCAGTTCCTTTTCCAGGCCGCCCCTGACGGCGAGACTAGTGCTGAGAAGCACAAGCGTTCTTTTCTTTTGCACATTAATCATTTGCCGCCTCCCTTGTGGCGCATTGCCAAGTTGCACCGACGTATTGTTGGTAAACAATCTTCGTCTCTTGTAGTTGCGCCTAAACCCAAGCGCGTGGTGCGTTCGCACAAGCATGAAGTTCGAAATGTCGTTTGGACGCCTGAAGAAATGATGGAATTTCAAGATGAGCCTCACTGGCGCGATCGCCAAAGAATTCAGAAAAGACTGTTGCACAATCGTGATGCCTTGGATAAAGGCAAGCATTTTGTGTTACCTCATGGTGAAGGTGAGCCTGTTGTGTGTCGTGAGTGCGGGCGTAGCAATGCCTCTTTGAGTAAGTTCCTGCGGGAGTCCTGTGGTGGCAGTCTCGACAAGGATGCTCTGCCCTCCAATCCTCGTGTTGCCCGTGAAAGTGTTCGTTTGCAGAAGCGCGTCAAACTTGTTAATGATCATAATTTAAATTGCGGCGACAAGCATCGCCTTCGTGTGCCAATTCACATAAGTGACGAGCCCAAATGTGCTGATTGTGGCGCTGTGCATGCGCATGGTTGGAGACGATTCGGCAAATTGATCAAGCAAGTCTGCCCGATGTCTCTCTAAAGGAATTCTCTTCTGGCCAGCAGCGCCAGGGGTGAGTGTGCTCCTTTCTTTGTGCCTGCAGTGTAGCGTCTTTAAGGACCGCCGCGCTGCGAAGCGCACTTGTGCAATTTCTGCATTGGCTGCAGTCGGCAGCTTTCTGCAATTGAGGGGTTTCTTTCTGTAGTTTCGAGTTCTTGTGACCGTCGGACGTGTGCTCGTGTGCCACTGGTCCCACGTTCTTCGGTCTCCGGTTTGTTAGGTGGTTTCTTTGTGGTTGGCTCCTGCCAGCAACTGCGGAGGTCCCTTCTTGGGTCCTCGTTTATGTTTTTCATGTGTGTGCAACCGGGCTCTTGCCCGCGACCCAAGGTGCGTGCCCCGAGTTCGGGTGTGCATCTCCCGATGGTGGATGGTTCAACAAAGAAGCACGGTGTTGGGTATTATCGCCTGTCGCTAGTCTCGCAATGCGTGATTCCTCCACGGCAACTACAGCTTTGCCAAGGTTAAAAATTGCGCCCAAACAAGGCGTTCAAGATGCATTTAATCGCAGGGCTGCATGCCTTTGGAATCCTTTGGGTCCTGTGGCGGACTCCCTGGCCGCTTGGCACAACAAAGCTGAAAGGTATCTTTCACAGCTCCGTGAGCGCGCGGGGATGCGCGTTAGTCGTGCTTCACTCGGTAGGGGCCAGAGGCGACTCATTTTGCGTCAAATAACTCCTATGTGTATCGCGCTCGGGTCGAGCGGGATCGCTGGTCCAATGCTCTTCTGAACACTCATTTGTCTCGCGCAGGCGCGTTAAGCTTGTAAGACAGCTGGAACACCTTCGGATCTTGCTTGCCAAGGGTTTAAGGCTTCAGGCTATTCCCGTTTGGTGCCGCGTAAAAAGTGTTAGCTTTCACAGCCTTTTTCGTGAGCGGAAGGACGAGCTTGATGAAGAAACACGGTCCAAGTTGGAAATTTTAAACTTGCAATTCGATGACCTCTCCGAGGAACAACTGGGCATCCTGCTCAAGTACGTGCACGATTGTGTGCGGAAGGCTGATCAATCAAATCGGGCACGTAGGGCAAAAAACTTCAGAGACAGGTTGCGAGGACCCAACGGGTTCATCGGTCAGGAAGCCTGGACGTGGCTTCGCAATGTCCGTGCCCCGGAGCTTGCTTTCTTGGGCAAGGACGGGGGGGCAAATCCAAACCCCCGCGACATTGACGTTGCAGTCAAAGATGTTTGGTTTCCTTTTTGGCGGAGAGATGTTACCGATAGAGACTGGACGGGCCTTCTGGAAACCTTTGATGATCTGGGCGTGCCGTGTCTTTTTGAAAACTCTCTTGATGAGAAAGATGTCCGAGAGGCCATCATGCGCATGCCGTCTGGACGACAGGGTCCCGAAGGTTGGTATACCGATGAACTCAAACAGCTGCCCACAACCGCTATTGCTGAGCTTACGTCCCTTTTCACAAAATGTGAGTCCGAAGGTGAATGGCCTGTGTGTCAACTGTTCTCGTATGCTGTGCTTATTCCAAAACCTGATGCTGCCAACAAAAATGCCCCGGACCGGCAGAGGCCCATAAATGTGCTTTTGGTACTATATCGGGTTTGGGTTTCGGCTAGAGCTAGAATGATCTTGCGTGAGTTGTCTAATCACTTGCTTGCCTCTGTGCAAGGGTGTCTTAAGGGACGTTCCAGCAAAAAGGTATGGCTTGACATTGCCTGGCGCGTTGAAAGCGCGTGTGTCACGGGGAGACCCCTTCACGGGCTAGTTCTGGATATAGTTAAGGCCTTTAATGCCCTTCCCCGGCGCCCTCTTTTCGAGGTATTGGCGAGGCTGAGGTTCCCACAAGGGGTACTTCGAGCGTGGCAGGCTGCCCTTCGCTCCATGCAGAGATGTTTTAGGATTCACGGCGGTTTAGAAAGACCTTTCCTTACTACGCACGGGTTTCCCGAAGGCGACCCACTGTCGGTCATCCCAATGGTGCTTACGGGCTGGGCCTGAGTGAACCAGATGTCAAAGCTCGGGGCACCTGATCAGCATGAACCATTGCCCTTTGCTTTTGCTGACAACTTTGAAGTTTTGGTTGATCGGGTTCAGTGCCTTAGCGAGGTCCTTGCACGCAGTCAAAGCTTTGCTCATCTTTATGGCGTTGCGCTGGCGCCAAAAAAGATGTGGTGTTGGAGCTCCGACGCTGGGCCAAGGAGGACATGTTCCGATTGGCGCATGCCCCGCTCGGCCGTCCGGCTAAAGCTTTTGTTGTTAGGGCTAAATACTTGCCGAAGGCGCTTTACGGGTGTGAAGTTGCACCGGTCTCGGCTACGGTCATCAAAGGCCTCCGGTCATCGGCGTCGAGGGCCATTTTCGGGGCTCAGCGGGAGTTTTCTTGCAATGCCCTTGTGCTTAATGTGCTTTACCCGCAGGGCACTGATCCAAAGTTCTGCCTTTTCTGGATGCGCCTATTGGGCATGCGTCAGGTCTTAGCCTGGTTTCCGGGTAGGAAACAGCACGTTGAAGAGACCATTGAGGCACGCGAAGAGTTCTCTTCGGGAACCGGTCCGGCTAAGCTTTTCAAGGAAGTTGTCGACGAGCTCGGATGGGAAATATCCTACAGCGATGGCTGGAAGGTTCAGAGACGGGTGGGTTTTTTCTGGTTTTGCAGAGTGTGTATTCTGCGCCTTAGGGAGATCTTCGTTGAGGATTTCCGTTCGGTATATCAGGCGGGAGACTTGTGCTGATGGATGGCGTCGCTTGAGCAGGTTCTGCAAGCAAAGTTGTCTCGCTCCCCCTGAGCAGTGAACATTGACATCGGTATCTTGGTGATTATAACAGGCGGACATCGGATATGCTTCATGCTTGAGTCACCTCCAAAAGTTTCTTTTTACCACAAAATAATTTACTAAGTCCCCCTTGGACTAGGCTGTTTTCGGCCCTTGTAGGACTTCTCGCAAGTTGGTTGTTCTTTTCACTGACGGTCTTTAATCGTGCCATCCTACTGCAGTCCTCTGCTATGTATCAAAGCACTGTGCTTTTTGATCAAATGCCCTGCCGCATTTCCTCGACCCTTTCGGTTTAGGTTTCCCTTCACCCTAGCTATCCACTAGCTTCGTGTCTTACACAGACGGTTTTTTACCACCTCTGGCTATCACAGCCACGACTAAGCGCTCTGTGCCCCGTGCTCGGGTGCAGTGCGCCGCAATCAATGCGGATGAGGAGAAGGCCAACGGAAGGCTTGCGATGATGGCCATCATCGGCATGTTCTTTCACTCCCAGTGGCGTAACCTCTATGTGGTTGGGAGAGGCACACTGAGGTTGTGACCTCAGTGGCTAACTACGCTGGCCATGTGTACAGAGGCAGTCGACTGTTAGGGTTGTTTCGTGGGGTGGACCCTAATGGTGATCAGCTTCCAGCTGATCGTTCTTACCCTATGGTGCGGCAGCAGCAGAATTCAGCGCACACGCCTTGTGAGTACATGTATGAGGCTGGCTCACCGGGGCGCCGTCGTAACCCTCAACGCATCCGACATCTATACAGACTCAGTCGTCCGGTGCGGCATTTGTCACAGTTGACCTTGGGGACTCTTAATACCCAGGGCTTGGCTTGGCACAATCTTTTACATCGTGACAAGCTGGTTTTTCTCATTTCGCATATGCGCAAGACGGGGACCGATCTTCTGGCTGTCACCGAGATGCATGGGACGAGGGGTCCCAGCATTGTGCACATGGAGGAGTTTGTGTTGTGTGTTGGTCTCCAACAACAGAGCCGGTTGGCTCATGACGCTTGAGATGTATGTCATTTGGTCCAGTACAGGCCTTTTGCGGTGGGATCAAGGGGACAATCTCTGCTCAATTAGTTTGCGAATGCATGATACTGAGTACATCTTCACAGCAGTATATCTGCATCCGTCCCGCCTGGTGGGGGAGAGGAGGGCAGCCTATGAAGAGATCGAGAAGCTTCGACGGCAGTTTCCTCCCGGAAGCCAAGAAGTGTGTGCGGGCGATTGGAAATCCCATACTGGATTGGACTTTGTGGGCGACCAAGTACACACAGGTCAGCACATGCTCCATACGCCAACAACAATGGGTGGTCGGGTCCACAAGGCCTGGCTACACACAACATCACTATGCATGATTGACTCTTTTCGTCCAGCCGCCCGTCGTGCGACGTGGCGACACAACGTCACAGGACAGTTGTACGAACTGGACTTTTGCTGTGTGTCGCAAGCGATTCGTAAGCAATTTCAGGCTACTTGCACGTTCGCCTGTTCAATTACGGATCACTGGGGCAAGCAAGTGGTAGTGCACCTCTCATCCCATGAGAAAGCTCGGCGTCGTAGCGAGCGCCGGGACCGTTTTCAGCACTATGAGAGGTGTCGCCAGTTGGCGCAGCAGAAAGGCCAACTTCGGGTGCAAGACATGCGTGGGCCCACGGTGGCGGCGGGGCACAGGCGTGCTGAGTTTGGCAAGCTGGTCGAGTCCGAGTTGACCGCCCTTCAGTTGCCTCTTCCTGTAGCTGATCATGATGAACTGCAAAACCAAGACGTTACGGTTGATGTGGAGATCTACACGGATGGTTCGTTTGGGGAGCGTGGCTCTACTGTGGCAGGATGGGGACTCTACGTCCGGCGAGGTACTCACAGCGAGTCATATTATGCTCCAGTCAAGACGGAGGCCGCGTCGTTCTTGTACCATGGTGCATGCGGCCACTCAAACAACGTAGGTGAGCTGGAGGCAATTGGGATGGCCTTCAAGTGGGCACGCAAACATTGCGACCCAGGAATGAAGTTGTGTGTTCTCTACGACAGCCAGTACGCGGCCAATGCGGTGCAGCAAAAGCAGGAAGCTCGCACCAACCTTGAGCTCATTCAGTGGGCGCGTCTGCAGTACCAGCATGCGTTAAAAAAGGGTCTCTTGATCACTTGGAAATATGTTCCGGGGCACGAAGGCATTGAGGGCAATGAAAAAGCAGATGCATTAGCGAAACGTGGAGCACAAGGTCATGTCAGTCTTTGGGACGATTCATGGAGCGCACCTTCGTGTCTACGTGGAGAAGTTGCAAGCTTGCTACAACCTCAACCGACTCGTCTTCGGCGCAAGTGCAAAAGTGGGGGCCCGGCCCCACGCCCTGTCTGGGAAAATGGGCAAGGCGAGCCCTGGTTCTGGCAACCGCGAGAGGCCGTAGTCGAGCCTCCCTTGGTGGCTTGGGACCAGTTGGCACACATTGTGGTGGGTGCCGCTGAGCGTGTGGTGGGCCGTAAGCGCCCAGCGCAGCTTGGTGCTCCGTATAGCCATGAGGATTTGGAGGCCATCCATCAATTGCGTGAGGATCTTACTGCATTGTGGAACCGGGTTCGTTTGGAGGAGGATGAAGAGCAGCGGCGTGTACTCAAACTTTCGCACCGTCAACTGCAACGTCAGCTACAGCGATTTCGGCGTCAGGCTCGCGGGAGGTTTGTTCAGAGCATCTGTCGTGAAGCCGAGGAGAGCATGCATTCTCATGACACTGGCAAGTTCTATCGAACCTTAAAGAAATTAGGCATTCACTTGTCCGAGCACAGCAATGAGGGCAAGGTGGAACACGGCCTTAAGGAGCTCCGAGAACATTGTCAAAATGTGAGTGGCAATGTCAAGACTGTCAAGGAAGATGTGCTCCACGATGTTCCCTTTCGGCAGGTGGAACAATGGCTGGGGGACACTCCGAGCAGTCAGGAAATCCGCGTGGCCATGTCCAAAGTTAGGGACTGTGCGTCTGGATGGGATGAGGTCACGGCGGGCATGCTTCGCTGGTCGGGGCCCATGGCCAGGCAGTGTGTCGTTTCGTTAGTGCAGTATCTTTGGAATGCTCCTCCTGCGCAGTGGGAACGTAGCATCAAGACGGGCATTGGGGTGTACATGTACAAGAACAAAGGTGATCGCCAAGATTTGAGCAATTATCGTATCATCATGTTGCTGTCTGTTATCAGCAGGGTGGTGGCTCGTGTGGTAGCAACCCGTCTACAGAAATGGGCGGAGAAAGCTGGTTTTCTTCACGACTTCCAGTATGGATTTAGACCTTCTCGACGTTGTACGGATCCAGCGCTCATTTTGACTTTGTTACTCGACATGGCAAACTCCGCGAAACCGGAAGATGACACTGAAGCGGACCCACTGGTCTTTGTTCTTTGGGACATTGTCGCCTACCCGTCCGCGCAGAGACATTTGGCTTGGCGATTGTTTCATCGCTTAGGAGCACCAGACAAAATGCTTCGTGTTTTATCTTCACTGCATGATGGAACCTTGTACAGAATCCGTTCAGGCAGGGAGTATTGTGACGAGTTCAACATGGCGGTCGGATTTCGAGAAGGTTGTCCTAGTAGCCCTGTTTGCTTCTCTGTCTTTCACAACTTTGCCATTCGTGGTTTTCTTCAACTTCGCAAAAAGCACGGGGATGAAGGACTGCGCCTGAGTATCAAGCCGGGTGGCCCCTTGAACACACGCAAGGCCCTCTCCAAAAAGCCGGAACATGATGAAGTCATGCGCTTATTGGCGGTTCTGTTTGCTGACGATACCACGGGGCTCACAAGATTGTCACATTTGGACGCCTTTGAGAAAGACATGCAGGACGCCCTGGAGTTGTATGAGGAAAAATTACATCCCGGTAAAACACATCGGCTGCGTGCAGGTCATCTCCCTGGCCCACGCAGCAAGTTCGATGATGCGGTCCGCTTCCTCGGGGTTTGGTTGCAATGGGATGGAGGCCACGACAGAGATACTCATGAGCGGTTGACCGCGGCGAGTCGTGTTTGGGGCCAGCTCTCCAGGCAACTGCCGCGGCTTGGGCTTGCGGTCTGGCAGAAAGGTCAGGTGGTTAATGCCACTGTTGTCAACTGTCTGCTGTTTGGGTGTGAGCGACGTACTTACACGAGCAAGCAGCTGTCCAAGTTTCAGAGCTTTCTCAACCGTATTACTTTCTTGATCTGTGGACAGAGACGACGCACAATGTCCGATGACCAGCTTACGCTGGCAGATCTGAGGAAGAAATGTGGTATTTTGCCTGTCAGACATGTCATCGAAACGCGTCAGCTACAGTACTTGGGTCATCTGGCTCGCCTACCCCCAGAGCGATTAGAACGGCAGGCACTATGGAGTTCGCTGTGGCCTGAAGCGGAGTGGAAGGGCAAGAAAACAGGCCCTACTCTGCGTCAGGCGTACTGGCGGCTCCTTCGACAAATCATGGCGTTTTCCTCGGTGCCAGCATTTGCTTGGTCCCAGCGTTGGATCGATGTGGCGGCCGAGCAGGACGGAACGACGTGGAGGCGCATGTTACGTTCTTGGGATAAGCAGTTCCGTGCCAATGAGAAGCAGTACGAGTGGGCCAACAAGCATGCTCCTGACGGTCTAGTAGAAAAACGTAGAGCAGCGGCTGCTTAGAGGGCGAGGCAGGCCACAGGGGCCGTTTTGCAACCGGACGGCCTCTACCTCTGCCCGCATAGTGGATGTGGCGTAAAGCTACGCTTCAGATCGATGAGGTTACATGTCAGTGCTTGTGAGAAACTGCCTGAAGAGGTTCGTCGTCAAAGAGCAGTACAACGTGAGCAGCGATGCCAAAAGCAGCAGGAAGCCCGTCAGGCGCGACCCCAAGTTCTGAGGAGGCCGGCGGCCCGCAGGCAGCCTGCCGCTCCGGTTGACTCCCCTGAGGACCCACAACGGGCACAGCCGCAGCCTGTTGTAATGCGCAGATACAAGTTGCAGGGCAAACAGCCTAGGCCAGTGGATTATCCGAGAGATGCTTCTTCCGCATGGCCGCCGCGGTGGGTGGAGAGCTGGCGGCGTTACCACGAGTCGAAAGCTTTTGTCGACAAAGCCCGGCGTATGACAATCACTGACTTGCCCCAGCCGAAGCGTGGTCGTCACGACCCTAAGGATCCCAAAGTGTGCTTCTGGTGTCATAAAGCGTTTCCGTCCAACGCCAAGTGTGCTCAACATACCCGTTGCTGCAAACAGATGCCCTATGACAACTGGTTGTACCGTTTCCGGTTCTTGATGCAGGACTCAGAGGAAGGCGCCTTTCATTGTCCGCATTGTCACACGAGTTTTCCAGTGGCAAAAGCGAAGGGGAGACATTCTGTCACATGTCAGCAGCGCAGACAGGCAGCGGGTCTTGCATTGAATCTTGGAGTTTTTCACGACATCGATGTCACGACCATTCGTGTTTGAGCTTTCCTGTTATTCTGCTGGCTGTTGGGTTCACGAGCAGAGCATGCTAGCCCTGTTGGTGGTCTGCTGGTGCCATGGCAGCAGCCTTGGAAGCAGCCAAGGCGTACACTGCCTCACAGAACGGTGGCAGCAACAAGAGGGCCCGAGCTCCGGATGGGACAGCACAGATGCCAGGCTCAAGCAGCAGCGGCGATGCGGAGCTGATCAATCAGTTGCTGCGGTCTCACCTCCTTCAGGACAATCTTGTACGCGAGGCCACCAATGCTACCAAGCTTTGCTTGCTCGTCAAAGCACCGGAAGACCAGGAGGCGATCAGTGGTCTCTTGGAGAGCTACCACGCCAAGCAGCGCGAAGTCCAGCTGACGCCAGAGCAACGCCGCAAGGGCGAGGCTGCCAAGCCTCACGAGTGGGGGCCTCGCAAGGTGTTCCTCTTCACAGCAGTGATGGACCGCCTCATGCAGCAGTACGGCGAGGGTACTCTGAAGACGACCATGGAGTGCTTCAAGGCAATGGACCCAGCAGATCTAGATTTTTCTTGGCGGACTTTGGCCCTGTCTTTGCCACGCCGAAGACAGACAGGGTTTGGAAGTGGAATGTAACAATGTCCAGCTTAGCACCTCCAGAGTTTCGCCAGCACTGGGTTGCCATGTGCAGGGAGCTCTCCCGCTCCAAGAATCAGCAGTGGCTCTTGGAGCCGATGAGGCAGGCCCAGACTCAGCTCACACGCGACCTTTGGGACCAGCTCAAGCAGCGTGCTCCTCAGCGGTAGTGGGAAGGCTACGGTGCCGATGTGCTCAGTGGCCGCATTCTACGGCCGTGAATTTGTTTGTATCCTCGGGATTCTGCATGAGTTTCTGTCGTCGCAGAGAAGAAGTTTGGTCGGCTTTTCTGGTGACTCAAGCATTTTCCTATCTGGCGGGGCCTCTCCTTTCTGTCATACGCAGTTTGGCTTTCGCCTGGGTGGTGGATGGTGCTTTGTTCTCCGATACCACATTTTTGGTGCACGAATGGTGGGCATCTGTCATAATCAGGGCTAACTTGACTGCAGTCGGATGGTTGTGCATTTGCAGATTTTTGCGACAACAAGACGGCGTGACCGCTGGTAGCTGGGTCAACATCCTGGCTGCCAAACGTTCCACCTGGGCAACGTTCAGCCCGTGGGCGGGGTCCGTCTTCGCTGAACACTTGCAGCGCCGCAGGTGGGCCGACCTCATCGGCGAACACACCACCTTCAACAGCATGTTCTTTCAGGTGGGGCATCAACATAGGAGCAGAAAACATGCGATGTATTTGTGTGTGTGTGTGTGTGTATTTGTGTGCGTGTGCCTGTGCCTGTGCGTGTGCGTGTGCGTGTTTTTTTGTTCTTTGTTTTTGTGTGTGTGTGTGTGTGTGTGTGTGTGTGTGTGTGTGTGTGTGTGTGTGTGTGTGTGTGTGTGTGTGTGTGTGTGTGTGTGTGTGTGTGTGTGTGTGTGTGTGTGTGTGTGTGTGTGTGTGTGTGTGTGTGTGTGTGTGTGTGTGTGTGTGTGTGTGTGTGTGTGTGTGTGTGTGTGTGTGTGTGTGTGTGTGTGTGTGTGTGTGTGTGTGTGTGTGTGTGTGTGTGTGTGTGTGTGTGTGTGTGTGTGTGTGTGTGTGTGTGTGTGTGTGTGTGTGTGTGTGTGTGTGTGTGTGTGTGTGTGTGTGTGTGTGTGTGTGTGTGTGTGTGTGTGTGTGTGTGTGTGTGTGTGTGTGTGTGTGTGTGTGTGTGTGTGTGTGTGTGTGTGTGTGTGTGTGTGTGTGTGTGTGTGTGTGTGTGTGTGTGTGTGTGTGTGTGTGTGTGTGTGTGTGTGTGTGTGTGTGTGTGTGTGTGTGTGTGTGTGTGTGTGTGTGTGTGTGTGTGTGTGTGTGTGTGTGTGTGTGTGTGTGTGTGTGTGTGTGTGTGTGTGTGTGTGTGTGTGTGTGTGTGTGTGTGTGTGTGTGTGTGTGTGTGTGTGTGTGTGTGTGTGTGTGTGTGTGTGTGTGTGTGTGTGTGTGTGTGTGTGTGTGTGTGTGTGTGTGTGTGTGTGTGTGTGTGTGTGTGTGTGTGTGTGTGTAATTATGTGTGTTTGTGTCTGTGCGTGTGCATGTGCGTGTACCAGCCTGTTCCCTCCCTGATGCCGTCGGCACAGGACTCGCTCCGACGCGACGTTGACGTCCTGGGCCAACACTGACGGATAGTCTTGTCGGCTTTTCCTGTCTCGATGAAACATACCGTCGGCTTAGAGATGCTCATGACTTGCGACGTTTCACCGAGGAGGCCTTACCGTTGCTACACACGTTTCTCCGCGACACCCTCCCTGCACAGTGGTGCGCTCCGCGTTTGAACGCTGCAGCAAAACAGGTCGCGAACGCGCTTGCTGAGCCTCTCCGTGCACCACTCGGAGACTTAGCTCAGGGGCTAATTCAGCACATAGTCGGGGAGACCCCGCCTGCCCTCCAACTCGCATCGTACCTTACCCCGGAGCATGTGATTGGCATTTTTCACCAATCCGAATCTAACTACCTGATGAGAGTGAGGGCAGGCCTGGCTGGCAGCACGAATTCACATATCTTGGCCCAAGTTGCATGGCCCATGTTGAGAACTCTTGAGGGTGAGGCTCGTATGTTCCTTGACGTGGAGGTCCTGCTAAAGGCAAAGGCAAAGGAAAAAAGGACCAGGGCAATCAAAGGTCAGGCTCTTAAGGGAATGGGTCGGGACCGGGACCGCGAACGTTCTCCCCGCAGGCCTGCTGCCCCAGCAGCAGCGCCAGTTCTTCCGCCACCGCCCGACAACCGGGCTCCTCTACCGCCGCCTTGCGCTAACGTAGCAGCGGTTCCGGAAGAGGCCCCCCCCGGCGCACGGGTCTCGGACTGAGAAGTGCTCACAGGCACCCCGCACGGCCTGCTTTGCAGGCCTTTTTAAGAGTTTCGCCGAATATGCTTACAGTGTACGTCTTGCAGTTCTCCACAGTAGTCTCAGTACGCGTTTGCTTCTCTGTTTACTTCGAGTTTGTTCCACTTTTTTCTCCTGGTCGGGACCATCCCCGAGTGTGTTGCTACCCCTTAGCGTTTTTAGGCGCCCCCAACATTCACACACGGACCACAGCATGTCTTATCACACGTATATTCCCAGGCTTCGAGCCGAGCCATGTCACGGTCCTCTAACGTCCCAAAGGTGCTTCTCTTAGTAGTATAGGAATGTGCCCGAGTACTCCTAAAGGTGATGTCGGCCCGGTGTAACCGTTAGGGTTGTGTTGTTAAGGGCCCACAGCAGCAGCAGCAGCAGCAGCAGCAGATCCTCGCGTACATGGCCTTCTGCGAGCCCAGCCGCAGCGGGCGACTTCGGCTTCAAGGTTTTGACCGCCAGCGACCTAGATGAAAAGACCAAAAAGTTGCCGGCAGAGTTGGCCAACGGAAGGCTTGCGATGAGCTAGACTTATGCTTGCTACGTTTCATCGGTTTAATCTCGCAGTCCTCGGCTACGGGGTATAATCATTTAGCCATGCGCCTAGAACAGCAAGCACGCATTCTCCCTGAGATTAGACCTGATCGCAGACGCATTCGAGGTAAACAGACACGGCCTCCTGCTTATGAAATTGTGCTTGCTGATCCTGATCCGCCATTAGCACCTGTTGCCCCGCGTGTGCGTGGACGGTATTGGATGAGTAGACAATACAGTAATCGTGAAGATGCTCAGTTCGCTTGCCCTATAGCTGGTTGCTCACGCAAATACACCACAAAAAGCGGCCTCGGACACCACCTAATCTTGTCACATCCGGGAGGTACTTTCAGGGAGGCTGGGTGGGACTGTCCACCTTGTTGTCGTTCTTTTGAGAGAGAAAGCGCCATGACTAGCCATCTAAAGCTGCATGATGCTGGTGCCGTTCCGTACATTTGTCCGGAATGCGGCGGATACTTCCCAGGACGAGATTCTGTGCGGATGCACGTGAGTGGCGCACACCCTCTGAATCATGACATGCTGCCTATCACGTGTGCTTATTGCCTTCGAGACTTTCGCATTGAGCAAGTTTTTACACACCTGCACAGTTTCCGCATGCACCTTTTAAGTGAGCATATCCAGTAATTTGCCTTCGTTTGCCGTCGAGTCTTGGTTCGAGAGTCTGCTAGTGTGCCTTGCTTTGCCGTGACCTCTTTGTAGTCGCATGGCATGGTTGGCGACACTACTCATAAGTGGCGGTGGTCGTGAACGTGAGCGTGAACGTGGTCGCCGAGGTGGGGAGCGTCGTGCGGAAAGTGAGCGTGGGGACCGTCGAGGTGACCGGCGGGAAGACGACCAAGCGTCAGTCTCTGAGCGTCTCGACGTACTGGAGTCCAGACTCGAGTCCACTGCCGCCCTTGCCTCTGCCACTGCCTACCGTGTCCGTAACGAGAGCTCGCGACGTTCGTTGGTCTACTTCGTGCAGGGGGACCTCAAAGCTCGTTTGGAACGGCGGTGGGCCACCTGGCAAGCGAGAGCTCCGCATTGCCCCCTGCCCAGAGGCCACGGGACAAACCTGTCCCCTGCAAGTTGCAAGTGCACACCGAGTTTCTCGACTACGTCAAAAGTGCTGTTGGCGCTGGTCCTAGCTCTGCTAACGTCCAGGAGGCTTTGTTGCCGTTGCTACAGTCCAGTCCGTCCGTGGAGGCGGCTCGACACGGAGGGTAAAGCGTGGCCGGTAGTTTTGGTCTTCCGCAGCTCCGAGGCTGGACAAGCCACCAGGGAACACTGGCTTCTTGACCAGTTCCGGCCGTGCCTCGGCAAGGCACGAACTTGGGTACGGCCCGCGCGGTACATGGCGGCCGGGGTTCATCGTAAGGTCGCGGAGTTCCTGCCTCAGAAGGGTGGAGGGCGTGGGAAGGGCCGACGGTCGCCGAAGCGAGAGCCCGAAGCCCCAGAGCGAATCGGGCGCTCCAAGGAGCCTAAACGCTGATCTTCAGGACCGTCTTTCGTTGGAGTTAACATTTTCTTGTGAGTGGCGTGCGGTGCCGTCCGCATTGCCTTGTCTCATGCCCGGTGCCGTCCGGTGCATGCCATCTCCGTCGGGTGCCGTCCCGCGGAGGGTTCCGTTCGTCGTTCTGCAACGCGCCGTCGTCAGTCGTTCCGTGCGTTTGGTCTTTCTCCCCTTGCTCGTCCGTCTCGGCCGTTAGTACTGTTTCGCCCTTGTCTCGATTGATTTTATCTGCTGTTTACTGCTTGGCGTATTTGCATATTGCCCCTCTATTCATGTTTGTTGATGACAGTTCCCCATAGCGTTCCCCCCATACGAGTCGAGGTATCATAAGCTGACCCCTGTTTTTAAGTTTTGAATTGGTTTTCACACACCCAAGTCCTCTTCAGGACAATAGGGTGGTCCACAGGTTTGCGATGATAAAGCCACGGGACCAGATGGTATAGACGCTGCGGTTCTGAAATGTTTGTCGATTATAAATCTCCGAGTGATGCATGAGCATATATATCGGGTTTGGACTGGCGCGGTTCCAATGCCCGAGGAAGGGGTGGACAACTATCTCATACCTATTCCCAAGAAAGGGGATCTTAGTTTTTGTAAAAAACGGAGAGGGATTTTTGCTGGCCTCTATTCCAGGGAAGGTCTTTGGTAAAATACTCAAATTCGCGGTTATACGAACATGCAGAAAAAAAGCATTTGCTTCCAGAAACCCAGGCCGGCTTTCGCGCAGGTCGTAGCACGATGGATATGATTTTTGCTTTGCGTATGGCGCAAGAAATCGTTCGCACCAAAGATCACCCGTTGTTGTTGTTTTTGTTGATCTGGTCACCGCGTATGACAGTGTGGTCCGTCAAGGTCTTTGGAGACTCCTGCATATTGCATTGTTAAAAACATTTTATGAACTGAAAACTGCTAAAGTTTTTGCTGAGGGGTCGTTAGCGGAAGCATTTGCCCTCAACACTGGCCTAGGGCAAGGTTGCTGTGTCGCCCCCTTGCTGTTTAACATATTTTTCGGAGCGGTCATGGAAAAATGGCGGCTGGTGGAGGGTCGACGATTAGATTGGTGTACGAGACTGGATGGGGTGCTACACTACACCGCGTCCAACTTGATCGGCACGCGTCTCACGAAGGTTGTTCACTGCCTGATCTTGGGTATGCTGATGACCTTTGTCTACTTGGTGACTGTTACGGTATGCTAAAGACCCTATTGCAGGAGTTTCAGGCCTATGTCTCCAGCTGGGGTTTGACCCTGTCCGTGGCAAAAACTGAAGCTATGTGCACTACGCAAGCGGTCCAGTCTCCGATATCCGTTGTGCCTCACCAGGGCCTGTCTAGCATAAAGTTTGTCGAGACGCTTGAATATTTGGGATCTCAAATTAAATTTGATGGAGACTGCACCCCGGATATTTTATATCGTGTAGATCAGGCTAGGAAAACTTTTTGGAAGCTGGCTTCTTCGGTGTGGTATGTCAAGGAATTGTCGCTGGGAGTTAAAATTCTAGTTTTTCCTGCCTGCGTACTCTCTGTTCTAGTATATGGTTGTGAAACGTGGACCACGACTTTCCACACTCGGCACAAGTTGCGACTGTTCTATATGATGTGCTTACGTGTCATTAGTCGCGTGACTCGTTGGCAACAGCAACTGTGGCACTTGAATAATGACACACTGCGGGAATGCTTAGGGGTCCCGGACATCATGGATGTTGTTGCGCAATACCAACTTCGTTGGTTGGGGCATGTTGCACGTATGTCATCGGATTGGTTGCCCAAACAAGTTGTTTGTGGTTTTCTGCCGGATTCGAGTGAGACACGACCACCCCCGGGCAGTTTGAAAGGTAAATGGTATCGACAGACTTTGGTTGAGGCTATGCGTAGGGCTGACATTCCGCTCAGTCTTTGGACCCGATTTGCGCGTCAAGATAATGGTGATGCTTGGAGGTTGGCCTCTCGGAAGCTCGCATTGTGGTATCGGCTTTTATACCCGGGGAAGAATGCCGAACCTCCATCACGGGATGCTGAATACACGAAGATTCTTAAAAAGCGCACAACAAGCGTTGACAAGAGTTTTGCTGCTTCTGTACGTAGGGCGGAGGGATGGATTCAAGGGCAGACCACGGATGCTTCTGGGTTTTTCGGACTGGAAGCCTCGAATGCACCAGTGCCGTTGGCTACCTTGTTTGAGTGTGAGGCAAGAAAGCAGTTCGGGGATGATTGGGCTTTGGGTGATTTTGATGACGTTTTTGCAAAAGTGCTGGAAACGGGTTTTTGGGAAACAGCCGTCGTGCACGAAATGGACCTTGGCTTGTTCAGATTTATAGGATTGACAGCGCAAAAGTTGGCTTCTGATGACTCTTGTTTACAATCGCAAATCTCAACTGTGCGGGAAATAACCGGCACACTAATTCCTGTTCGGCGACGTTTACATAAAAAGCAACGTCGTACTGAGGCGTTCCGTGAAATAGCTCCCTGTCCAGAGGGTCTGACGGAGCCTGTCGCTCGAGTTCGTAAGAGGTACTGGGTACCTCCAGTGCACGAAAATCGTGCGGGAGCTTCGTTCGCCTGTCAGCTCCCGGGTTGCACGCGCATGTACACTACCAATTCTGGTCTTGCGCACATCATGTTATTCTTAAACATCCACAGGGAACTTATCGTGAGCAAGGCTGGGACTGCCCGCGTTGTTGCCGATCTTTTGGACGCGAAGGCGCCATGACTAATCACTTGAGGTTGCGTGCGCCAGGTGCCACGCCGTATATCTGTCCGGAATGTTTTGGATTTCCCTGGCCGAGACTCCGTCCGTATGCATATGCATATGAGCAGTGTCCATCCTATCACACGTGCCATTTTACCTGTTACATGTCCTTATTGTGTCCGGGACCTGGGAATAGAGCAGGTGTTTCATCAGCTTCATAGTTATCGCATGCACTTACTTCGCTCCCACATTCAGTAGCTTTTCGATGACGAATGCGTATTTGCGCAAAAAACAAAAAAGTGAGCTGCATGCTTTCGCGCCTTGTACGGTCAGCATGTGTCTACTTGTGTCTGTCTATATGTGCTTGCTGACTTCTTGTAATTCTTGTGTGTTGTTGCAGCAACTTTTGGCTGTTATGTCCTCCTGTGCTCTGCTCGCCTTGAATGCCATGGGTGGTCGGGATCGTGATCGGGATGGTCGTGGCGACAGGTCGGACCGTGAACGTCCTTGCCGTCATGAGAGGGATGCTCATGATGATGGCGGTGTGGTTGACCGGCTGGCCGCTGTTGAAGGGCTGGCCAGCGACGTCGCTGTGCTGGCCTCCAGTACAGCCTTTCGGTTTGGAGCGCACCAGGCCACGAAGGGACTGGTCTTCTTCCTGGGTGGAGATCTCAAGGAACGGGTGGGGCGGCGGTGGGCGGAGTGGAAGCGCACCAGTGCGCTGGAGCCTGCTCAAAGGCCTGTGCAACGGCCCAGGCCATCGAATTCTTCGTGGAATGGCTGGCCAGCACTGTTGCTGCCGGGCCCAGTCCAGATCCCGCTTGCTCTGCCGTGGTGGCGGATCTGGCAAAAGGCTCTGTGTGCGTCGAGAGTGCCTCGCACGGAGATCCCATGGAAGGCAAACCGTGGCCAATCGTTCTCACGATGCGGGGCAGTGAAACGTCTCAAGAGCTCAAAGATAAATGACTGTCTGACTACCTCAAAGGGTATCTCGGGCCAGGGAAGGAATTGGGAGTCCGAGCGGCTCGGTATAAGGCTGGTGGTGCCCACAAGCATGTGCTGGACAGGCCACCTGACACGGGTAAGGGCTCTGGCAAGCGCCGGTCGCCGAAGCGTGAAAGTGCTCACAGGGATGTTCATGATGACAGGGGGCGGGAAAGCATGCTCGAGGTGCTCGTTGAGGACGGGTTGTCTCTTACAAGCAAAAAAGGATGTGTCACGTCACAGCCTTTTGTGGTGGTCGGTGCTGCCCGACTCACCTTTGCTGCGGTGCCGGTGCCGCGCGGCCCGAAACCAGAATTTGGGTGCCGTCCCGCGGATAGTACGTCGTGCGTCGTTCGTGTCTGTGCTAGTCGCCTGGTCGTGTCCCCTTTCGTTTCTGTCTTCCTTATGTTGGTCCTTGCTGGTACTTGCCGGCTCTGTTCATCTGTCAAGTCTTTACTGCTTTCCCTGCTTCTGTCTTAATCGCCTATGACTTCTACGGCATCAGCAGGAAAACATTGACGGATGGAATCCAGGTCCGTAAGAGCTTGCCTCCTCTTTTTGACCAAATTTGATGGTCGCATATAGAATGAAACAAAAACGGTAAAATCGTTCACCAAGAGGAATTTGCACTGCACAGATGTTGTCTCCGCCATCCCAACGCATGTATTGCGACTCAGACCAGTGGACATACATCTCAAGCGTCATTAACCATCCAGCTTTGTTGTTGGTAACCAAAACGAATTCTTCAAGATGGACCACACACGGGCCCTGAGTGGCCTGCATTTCACTAAGCGAAAGCATGTCGAACTTCGTCTTTCTCATGTACTGCAAAAGGAAAAGCAGCTTGTCACGATGACCCAAGTGGTGCCATGACATGCCGTGTGTGTTAAGCGTGGCAATGGACAAGGTGTTACGGGATCCAAATGCTCTGCTCTTTCTGTATTCATGCCGAATTCGATTGTGACGACGTCCCCCCATAGGCTCATCTGCAGAAGCATACAGGCTGGGCTCTTTAACATGCCGTTGACATCGCACCCGGGCCCACCCTGCGAGATACCCCAAGTAACCTTGACCCAATGTAGGTCACATCAGCAAACTTGGCCGCCATGGTCACAAGGACCAAGACGTTTCTCTACCAACCGCGAAGAGGCGTTGCTGCAGGTAGTGAAAGAACATGCCGATGATGACCATCATCGCAAGCCTTCGTTCGTGTCTTGTCGGTGTAGGCAAGCAGCCGAAGCGTCAATACCACACCTCCGTATCTGGCAGGGTCTTAGAAAAACCCAGCTACCGTGAGGCAGCACGCGAC